TTTTCATGTTATTCGCAAGTGGACATTTATTGATTGGTGTGCATTATTTACAGGTAGACATACTATTCATATGTATAGATATACATATATATTGACTGAAGGGTATTTTTCACAATATGTACATACAGAACATTATTTACATACAGGTATTTTGTTATGTAGGTGGTCATTATTTACAAGTCGGCATCATTCACAGGTTGTCTGTTTAAATGCAGGTATTTGTCATAAGTGGACATTATTTACAGGTAGGTACTATACACAAATGGACATTATATACAGGTAGGTATCATCATAAGTGTTACTCGTTGACAATTCTGGCATCGGGGTTGTGTTTGAGTGCTGGTAAATACCCTAGTGCTTTGTAAGCTAAAGGGACTGTGCATGTGCTTTGAATTATAGAACCCGTCGAGACACCCCATCGATCGAGATCTAGACATACTGAACGTAGGTGACGTACGGATAATGTATAAGGACACATACTGACGTAGTTTCACGTAGTTAATCGTTCAGGACGCAGTATAGGCTAAACAAACACCAGAGGTATAAACGCTCACTGTTGCTACATCTAAATATGAATTCAGAGATTCAACAGCTCCACCGATTTGTTATACTGGTACTGATAAGGACTCATTGGGTCTGTTTTCTGTACATGTTTTTCTTACTTGGTTGACTTTAAACTAAGTTATTTTTAGCTCCGCAGTGTACAGAACTCAAACCAAATTATGCGGGTTTAAGGGATGGAAAGAGAAAACCCACAAATGTCCAAATCAAGGTTTTTCTCAGATTCAAACTCCATCTAACCGATCATGGTTTGAAATGCCTTTCCATACAGTAGGCCTCGCCTTCAGGACGTAAAACCAGACAAACACGAGTTGTTTGAATGGCCTCAATCTGAATCAGTCCCAGCCTTCTATAAAGTCACGAACTCGCCTTTAAGAAACTTCACTTAGCTATAGATGAAATTGTCAACGTAAGGAAGACGTAAAGCTGACCGTGGCAAATGCGATGTAATCGAGACGCGTGCTCGTGACTTTCGTAGTTAAACAGGGTTTCCTTTTCAAATTAAAACTGTAATTTGACACGCTTTTCTGTCTCACTAATATTTTATGCCTTAATCTTAACACTATCTGTTTCGTACTTGTTTCAACAGAACAGATAGTGTGTGGTTATTCAGGTGTTTACTGTCAGTACTGAATCCATTTTTGGCAGGCCTGTCAGTGTTGAAACGGTTGATACCCACTACTTCCGGGTCAAACTATCCCATTACATTGCTCTCAGATTCCTAGAAGTGCTACTGGTTATTGGCTTGGTGTCAGTATCAGGACACTCCCTGCGTAAAACTTAACTCATCGCATGTTAAATATACTAGCCATAAGAAACAATTGTGCACATAGGAAATCAAAATATATGTTGGAACTACATGTGTACACAGGCACAGTAATTAGAAAATTAGATCATATTTGCAAGTGCACCGTTTCTTGCCGTCCGTGGTTTCGGCATGGGGACGTCCAAAACGTTTCTGCATTTGCATCTAGATGAACTCGTAGAGCACCATTTGTGACATTCGTCGCCACTCGCCTCTTTCCGTAACCTCCAAGAAGACTCCATTCGTCACAACTCGCCCCTTTCCGTAACCTCAAAGAAGACACGTCCCCCACTCAATACTTGTTATGTGCGAAAATACGACAAACCAATGAGAACGCGCGTAAATGAGCGCGGTGCTTTGATAAAAATAATCCCGAGTACTTAAATCGTTTATGGCATTATGTCATTGTTTAAAGAATCATGAAAAATATATATCGTCATATTGAAAGTACAAAGAACGTAGCTAAAAGGATTTTGCTGACTATTATGAAGTTTTTAATAAGAATCATGCGATTGACGGTGAGAGATTTAAATACACGCACGTGCGTTGGTTGACATCACTGCTCTCATGGGTCCAACTGGGGGTATTTCTGACGATCTTGCGGGCTTGTTATGGAGATGGTACGTGCGCTTCGACCAATTTTAGGAGATGTGATTATAATCGATAGGGTTTCAAAACAATAATATCGTATTTGTATGTAACTAATCAACCTTAATCTGTTATATTTCATAGCTCTGGGGATAATTTAGTCTGAGTGTTTTTTGGTCATTCATATTTTGTTTCAGCGAATTCATTTGAAATTCCACCAGGGGTGGGACAGCAAGGTTACACGAATGTTCAGTTTGAGAAATATTTTAAAGTCATTTTTGAGTATCTGCTTTGGGATTTAATGTAGCTGATTTTTTTCTTGGATTTTGTTTTGTATATTCAATAAAACAATTCCCATTTGTGATAATTAAACCCTATTAAGAAAATTAACATAATTAGAAATATAAGGTGAACAGCTGGTAATAATTACATTAGAATATGTCTAACAAAGATGTGTTTCTCCTTCTTTTAGTTGTATCAATGAGGTTTAATTCTTTAAACTAAATAAGTAAAAAAAAACAAACCACCCAACCTAGCAATACAATGTACATGTGCTTCGGTGATGTTTAGAAACATTGGAATCAAACAGGGATAGAGTTATCGTTCTTTTTAAAAGTAGTTCTGATGTACATGCGCCAATATGAAATCCTTCCAGAGGTGCACGAGTCGCTATTCGGCTTGTCCCGGAATAACACGAGTTGGTCATGAATGCATTGACTGGCAACAATAAACCGTAGTAACCAATAATGTAATTGAATGGCGCAAGCGCATACTGTTAGAGTTTTTAACGATAAGAGAATTATGTACCCGCAGCTGAACAGGGATCAAGGAGTGTACCTCACCTGTGCCTGGGAAGTCAATTAGGTCTTTACTGGCTTCTACCCACATCTTCTCATCACTTGTATAAACTCTTCCCTTGTATAAACAATACCCATTATCTGTACATCTCACTCTTTCATCTCCTGTTTCTTATCCGATTTATTCCACTGGCTTCTTGTACGTTTAGTATATATATAAATTGATGTATCTTGATGGTTACAACTCACCTGACGAAGGGGCAAGGAATAGCCCAGAAACGTTGTGACACACAATAAAGAAGAAGTTGTCATCCATAATATTTGCGTTTTACTTGAATACCAACTTCTAAATGCCTCTCAAGAACCTTCTAAATATAATGAATACACTTAATGCATGGTAACTTTAGTCATCTGTAATATGCCTACTTATAATTGTGGGGGCGGTGGGGTAGCCTAGTGGTTAAAGCGTTGGCTCGTCACGCCGAAGACCCGGGTTCGAATCCCCACATGGGTTCATTGTGTGAAGCCCATTTCTGGTGTCCCCCGCCATGATGTTGTTGGAATATTGCTAAAAGCGGCGTAAAACCAAACTCAGTCAGTATAATTGTGATGGTTCAAGCAATGTGTTGGGCGCCAGTAAACCCTACTTCCGGTCCAAGTCGCCTTAAATGTATAACACCACCACCACCAGCTCTGGGGGAAAAACGTTCGTCATCCCATCCCAGGCCAATAAAAATCCTGGTTTATAGTTTCAGAGTAGTTGCTTTTCATTTTTGTGACGGTAAAATATGACCTTGTTTTACGAAAAGAAGACCTTATATGAGTTTCATATAACTGCCTATGTCACACATTTACATTATCAATATTTGCATTTGTATACACAATTTGGCTACCTTAAGTCAACAATTTGGGGCAAACGTATTTCCCCCGACTTGTGCTTGTTGGTTACAAATGTAATAACCTTCCTTGAGAAGTATTGACAAGTTATAGATTCTATCATTTGCTTGATAACAGTGTGAGTCCCTACACTGAGACGTCGCCCTGTTGAAATAACAAACCTTGTTTATCTATATATATTATTATCCTTTCAATACATATACCGTATACGAGAAGTTAGTTTGATACATAAGCACATTGTCAAGTCAAAACATTGATTATACAACAGTCTCGTTTCCTGTTGACTGGGTTCCATCCTATTGCGCAACTTAGTACAATAACCAGTCCACAATTTTGAGACCAATTTTAAACATTCCTTCACTCTGCTCCAGGATACTTTGCTGTGACTGTTACGAAGTACCGTGAGTAAATATATTCATTGAGGAACATTTCTTTGTCTGAGGCAAATGCTGTGGTATTTGTTCGGAGCCAATCCTGTATCAACAATGAATCATGCCTTGAATATCTACCTCTATTTAACAGTAACGGTGCAATGAAAATAGTGTCTAGTCTGGGTGGTATGGTACTGACTGTGTTACTTCGGGATTTCCCCCTTAATAAACAGCACGGAATGACATAAGTGAGACACTGTTGTGAACGTCTGTATTTTATAGTGTTTTGTGATGCGTTGTGTCAATTCTCGTGTAAATACTTTATGTTCATTCGCTGTGTAGCTGTTTCCAGATATTGTACCAGAGTACGACTATAGTGGGTAGGAATGCCGGGGTAGATTGTGTTAGGCATACCATGATGTGCAGTATGAGACGTCTTAAAAGTCAGGCACTCAACATCTATCCATCCATCCATCCAATAACACAAAAGGGGTTTCCCTGGATTTATCACTGACAATAATAATACTATTAGACATAATACAGAGGGTATTTTAAGTTGGGTAACTTGTCCCAAATCCCTTTCACATTTGTGAACAAAATATGTTTAAATCAAATCAGACATGATGTGGACAAAAGCACCCATTGGCTGGTTTAACATAGTCGTCTACGTCAATACCACCGCGTCCTTCCAATGATTTCATGGCTATATGCTTTGATAGCTCAAATAAGGATGAATACAGTCACAAAAAAGCAAAATATGGCCACTCGTCACGGATATTTCCCCTTCGCTTCATTCTTCGTTTAAGAAGACACCCATTGTATAGAGTTATGTGTGTGTGAAAGTACTGTTTCTGACTTCTGCTCAACGTCGCTGTGAATGAAGTAATAGCAAGAACATCTTGTTCAAACTGATATATACTTTTTGTAGCCCGTGTTGAAGACTTGACAGGAGGTTTTACCAGGAGCGGACTTCGCTCAAGAATAGAGCACTGTATCGCATTTGAAGAAAGAATACATTCTACAAAATGTCTGGAAATCATTTTCCGGCACTTTGTGGAATATTTGTTATACTGACATGTGTTTCTTCAAGTTTTATTAACTTTGAACCGGGATTTGAGTACCAGTACAAGTATGATTCCAACGCAAACGTGAAAAATCTTGGAGATTTTCAAGTATTAGCCAAGGTGAGTTCCTGAGTCCTATTTCATTCCCATAATTCTTATTTTGTATATGTCGACACAAAATGTATTTCAAATACATTAATAGGTCAAAATATGGGAATAGGAATGCACATACAGATGGTGAACTGTTTTCCTTTAATGGTTAATCCTTTTTGAACAACGACAATCTTCCAGGCACGCTGACCGAGTGTCATGATGCTTATGAAGATACATGTACTTAGGGAAGTGAATGCTTCAGATTTCTTGTTACCTTCAGCCTACTGTCTGACCTTTGGTTTTTGTAGAACACGGGGAGCTCAAAACTGTGTACTTGACAAATGTGTATATTAATTCTTTTACATAGGTCCACAGGGTTTCCCAGGAAACTTTGGCAGAGATTTCAAAGTAGTCCCGATTTGTCTGCCAATCAAAGACAACATTTTCGACACACAGAAAGGCCTTATGAAACAGGCATGATAATGAATAATTAATTAATGGATCGTTTTTGTACGTGAAACCCGAAGGACAGTGGCTCATTTCAACAAATCTTTGAATGTTGGCATTCTTAGTTAATGTCCTATATATGTTTGGTTTGACAAGTAATTTAGTAACATTGCGCTGATTCAGAGCCCCATACTGCAGACTTCTGAATCCGTGGCCTTGACTCGCTAGTAAACTGTCTGCTTCCACTTTGAAACATAAAACCTTTTCAAATATGAAAAATAGACGTTCTCACCAAAGAACACAACACGTCACAATTTAAACCTGGAAACCCAAACTCCAGAACACTTTCCGCACTATGACCAGTTTTAGGACGAGAAAATCTACCACGTTCTATTTCTAATTGAAGTGTACCACAGCGTAGTTTACCTAGAACGCTACGGTGCCATCTAGGCACTATAGAAGTCATGCATGGTTCTGGAGTAACAGTGTACTTAAACTGTCTATATGTGCGTAACTTACTACCCATGTGATTACCTTGGTCATTCCACAGTTCCTGTAGCCACTCCTGATGATCTGACAACTGTATATGTTGAAATGACAAAGTCAGTTCACTCCTACATATGTGTAGCATATGATTGTAGCATTACGATGGTAATATAGATGACACTATGTTATCCGATGATTTGGCTAAACGCTGTGACCAGCTGCTAATAACAGAAGGCAATCTATCAGGTGCAGTTTATCACAAAATCGTAATACTTCTGTTCTCTGTTTTGACAAAGTACTAGTCCATCCCATATCACCCCTAACTGCCAGATTGGGAGTTTTGCTATTTACACCAATAAAAAATCTACAAGCACGGTTCTGTACTGCGCTTATACAACTAAAATCCTTAGTTCCCCAAAGTGCTGCACCTTAAGACAGAATAGGTTGCACTAAGTTATTGTATAATGTATTAAAAACGCTATAAGCCATACCGCCCACGGACTTAAACGTACACATCACCTATCCCAGTGCACGATTAGCAGACTTGGCTATTTCCTCAGCAGTGTAATTTAAATCAAGATTCTCCTCAAGCCAAAGTCCCAAGTATTAATCGGCGTTAGTATAATCAACACAATCATCACCAATTGTAAAGACAAATTTAGATCTCATAAACGATCTCGGACGATAATGAATAACTTTGGTTTTCCGAATATTAACAAGAATTCGCCAGTGGAAGCACCAATCAGCTACAACATCCAATATTCTCTGCAACGACACCTCGTCAGAAGCAATAAGTGCTGTGTCATCTGCATATAATAACAAACTTAACATAAGTAGTATACTATGTCAAAGCAATGGGGGAAAAGCTTTTTGTCCACGTTTCTATGTATTTGGACCACTTTCCGATGTTATTTTTCTCTCCACACATAGAAAAGTCTGTCTACTCCTAGAAAGTACTGTTGAAAGCAATCTTGTCCCAGATACTGCCAATGTCTTGCTGACAATCTCGGTAGAACAAATCTACAACATTTGGAAGGCCTACCTACACTTGTAGACGATATATACGTGTTTGGCTACCTACAGCCCAAAGACTGCGTTTGCAAGAATGTCAAAGTATCTTTGGGAAAAGGGAAGGGAAAGTTCTCGTAGTTTCCAGAATCGCCATCGCAGTACAAGAGCCCTAGGCAACTATACACCCAAAATATATGCAAACAAATATCCTACATTTCTACGCATACAAAAAGACATGCAGCATGCAGCATACAGCAACAGAAGACAAAATGTAGTCCAAACACACACAAGAGTAGTCCCTGTGGAGGTGCACACCCTTTAGAAGCCTCCAATTTGGTTTCCACAACTCACGACAGTGCAACTCCAAAAGTAGTATACACACAAAAGTTGTCCAGGAATATGAAACAAACACCGAAAAGCGGCACACGTTCCGGAGGGAATCCATACGTGCAAAAAGTTTGCAGAAGCGAAATACAAAGGGGAGAACAGATTGTTGTTGCTACTCGATTCGCCGACTGGAGAAACGATTCCGGTCTACAGCTACAAGATACGAGAAACGATTCGAGACAACGGCGGAATAGAACACCTACAGTTGGTGGGTGGACGGTTTCTGTGTAGGCCTGGCAAAATCTGCTACTCGCCCACTTTGGAAAAGAAAGACGATCGAGAAGTCGAGTTACTGTTCCCAGAGACCAAGTGGGTAAAGCTTCCATCGAGTCAAAAAAACACACACACGCAATCATGCATACAAACATATTTATTTCTAGTCCATGTAGAAGGGGTGCCTGGGGTGGACTGTGCAAACTTGTTTGGACGTTTCCGTCTTCTCGTCGGCCTGTCTGTCGGCAAGTGTGCAGTGCTTCCAGGTCATCTGCGCAGCCTTCCAGAGAAGGCGGCTAGCGAAAGGTAGGTCCACTTTTGGGCCGATTCTGACATCAGCCCCACCTTCTGGATATCCAGACGAGTCTCTTCTTGTTCCTCCTTTACGCTTTCGATTTCCTCGTGGAGTTCGTCGAGAGTGGAATCATCGTCGTCGTCCAGCCTAGACAAGATGTTGACCAGCATATTCGTGGTTTGCTCCACATGAGCCGACAACATCATCGCGGTTTGCTCCGCACAAGCCTCGATCTTCCCCAGACGATAATAGAAGTCCTGGAGAGTGGTCGACGGTTCTGCAGCAGGCAATACGGTTGTGCTGGAGGGCGACGTCATATTTGGTGCTATCTCGCCGGTGGGCAAGAGGGTCGAACGTTAGGCAATACGTTAGTGTTAGAGGGCTCTCGCCATAGCTATAGAGACTTTTAAAGCCGATACCGAGACGCTCTTTGACCTCGGCTGCCAGAGTACAACGCAAAGGTCACAGATTTCTTGGATCTGGTCCGGTGACAAATCTCTTTTTGGTGGCATGGTGTTTTTTTCCTGGATATAGACATGTGGAAGAACTGGGTTTCCTAGTCCTAGACATGTGGAAAACCAGGTTTCTTAGTCCTAGACATGTGGAAAAACCAGGTTTCTTAGTCCTAGGTTGCAGTTCAACACATCGCGAAATGACATCTCCAAGTAGCCTTATTCTAACCAAATTTTCAGTCATCTCTTCGATCTTGAACTGGATTACCAGTACATTGTCTTAGTGGTAAAAACCGATGCTTTTCAATGCTCTCAAATCATATCCATGTACTATGATATATCACGTCATACTGTAATCAGGTAACCTGTCCCACGTTAGTACTTCTGATGTTTTAAGTGCCCAGTGATTACATACTTATCAGTTAAACAATTTCTCACTGAAACGATAGGCGGGATCTTTCAATACCACTGGGAGCTTTCAATACCACTGAAAGTTCCTGACAGGTAATTTATGGCAGTTGGTCGGATTGGGGTGTGTTGATTGAAAAACAACGATTACAGCAACACAACAATACAAGCTTGATACAGGTGTAATTAACTGGTTATTAAATTAATTAACCCAGACCAAGTCAGACTTAACATTGTTTAATATTGTGTTTTGTGTTTGTTATCTTTCCCCATCTTGTCCTTCTCGCATCAATGGTGCAGAAGACTTGTTTAATAGGCTTCTGGATAAACTGTATACTGTTCTCATGGGCAACTTTTTGCTGACTTCTTAACACAGTGTAATTTGTGTGTTTTAAATGGGCGCCTTGGAACACAGGACTTTGCATATATCAAGAATGGTGCCTCAGTAGTTGATCATGTTGTCACTGGTCATGAAGAACTGAATTACTTTATGAATTTAATGTTGTTACTGTGTCATCAATAATCAATGGTGCTAATATGCCAAAATCGCTGCCAGACCATTCAGTTCTCTATTGGAATTTATCTGTACCCGGAATTTTCTACGAAATGTCGGTAGTCAAGTTCTGGATTGGCCGTTGTCGAGGTGCTCGTCAGCAAGTCAATACACCACAGACGTTACAAGATCTTCAGCGTCACCTTGTTGAGCAATGGCGACGTCTTCCTCGGGGTGTGTTTACTAACGTTCTAAGATCCATGAGGAGGCGTTGTGTGGCTGGAAGAGTCGCTGGAGGAGGCCACAGCCCTTACTGAAGTCCTCAATCAAATTGTTCTCCACGATATGAACTTCATTTGGAGGGTATATTGACATCATGACCGCTATCATTGTTAAAGATTTTCGGTGAGCGTTTTGTTTTCCTTTGATGTCAAGATGTTCTATGCACAGCACACAGCTAAAATTATTGTCTTGAACCGAATATTGAAACCTAGTCCAAAAAATCCTGAATGTCACGTTTTCAGTGTTGCTCAGTGTATATGTGTTTAATTCTTGTAGTTCAAGGCCATTGCCCCACAGAATATAGGGTCATGACAATAATTCATACATACTGAATGAAAACGATGCATAAAAAGGGGTGAGACATGAACATCAGGTTTGTGATGAATGCTGTCTGTATGCAAAAAATACAAATTTTGACATGATAAAGTGCGCATTTATATTCAGAGGACACTAATTCAATAAATTTACTGTATGTTGGATGATGAATGATATTCAGGCTTTAAGAATTTACTTCTTAGATGTTTATGGGCAAATTATGGATATCCGAGACGTT